TCCCAAGCTTTCCCTCGGACTTTACTCAGCCATTGGGTATAAACACATCACATTTATAGAAGAAAACAGTCCCGGTGTATATCTGAAAGCCTAGCGATCACTCTCACCAATGATTCATTATTTATGCAGGGATGGATTACACAATAGTTGAGACCATTTACAGGGGGACTCTTTTCCTCTCAAGTTATATTTAAAGAGCATATATACAACACCTTTTATGCTTTTGTGACGAATAACAAAGAAGCCAGAACACTGGCTAGTTTCTTTTAAGCTCCACAGATTTATTTTCACAGGACACATGAAATATTTATGTTGCTTTCCTCTCACCACCCAAATCAATAAGCCATTTGGAGAAGATGGCCAGGCTCAGACATCAGGTTTCCAACTACAGTGGGCCGTCATCAAATCTGTCCGAAATGAGATGGCCTCAAGTTTCAGTGCCTTCCTTATCCCAGGGCTCAGTAAATTTCTCAGTGTCTGTGAGAACTACATTCTGTTCTGTATAACTTCAAGCTAGGTGGAGCCGCTTTCCTTGCCTGGCTCCTGGGGTGGCTGAAAACCACATAAAAGTTCTCTGCACAAGCTGAGAGGCCTCAGGGCTCTGAAGGGCAGGTCAGTCCGAGGCACTGAAGACTGAGCCAGGAGGCCACATCTAATGAGTAGGGGGAGGGTTTCAATGACAAACCTTCAAGGGCCAAAAGTGACACCAGAGCAGATAAAATGCTGCGCAAGGCATAGATAAACTGTGATTGAAATGGTATTTCAAGCATAATACAGACAAAATAGAACAGAAACATATCCCAGCCCCACAGCAAGACATTTCAAACTGATACTCAGACACCGTTCTAAAGATAATTGCTTCCATTTTCCTTTTTTAAAAATGTTTATTTATTTATTTATTATGTGGACTGGGGTTTTGTCTGCATGTATGTCTGTGTGAGGATGCCATATTCCCTGGAATTGGAGTTACAGACAGATGTAAGCTGCCATGTGGGTACTGGGAATTGAACCTGGGACCTTTGGAAGAGCAGTCAGTACTCTTAACCTCTGAGCCATCTCTCCAGCCCACTATTTCCCTTTTGTAATAAAAACCTGAGAGTTTATTTATATAAACCATGTATTATCTCTAGGTGATAAAAGATGTTTCTTAAATTTTACTATATTTATTATCTGAATGTGCCAAACATTCTAAAATAGAAAACATATTATATTACTTATGGTTTGTTTAAGTAGGTGCTGCATAGCAAGGCTCTTCCTATTTAAGCCTTTTGAGTGCTAGGATTCCAGACATGCACCACCATACATTCAGTTTCTGCTGGTTTTTTTTTTTTTTTTTTTTTTTTTTTTACAAGATTAAACAAATAAATGGACATGATCAGCCATCTAGCTGTAGACTTCTCTTATTGCTCCCGGGAACCCCCAGTGCCCAGCACAAGGCCAATAATAGAAAGTACAGTAAGAACTGTCTAAACATAAGACCAGACAAGGTAGTGAGGCAGAGGCAGACTGAGCTCAGTGAGGTCCAGGCCAGCCTGGTCTACACAGTAAGTTCCAGATCAGCCAGGGGTAGATAGTGAGAACAGAGAAAGAAGCAAATAGAGAGAGAGAAAAAAAAAAAAAAACAGAAAAGGAAAAGGAAATGTCTAAAGACACTCTTGACATGGGCCAGAAAAAATAAAAAAGCATGCATGGTGAGATTCTGCTCCATCCTCTGGTAATTCAAATATGGCTGGACTCTCTGCTTGCAAGATCTCACCAGAACTTTCCTGGAAAGACTCCTTCCACTAACTGACACTTACTGGGTACAGGTTGTTTGGCCTGAAAGATGCATTAAACCCCCATTGTTGTTTAATGTCCCTTGCTTGCTATTTGTGATGGTTTACTGACTTAAATTGGGCTACGAAATCATATAGGAGACAAATTTCCAGATTTACCTATGGGGATTATCTAGATTAGGTCATCCTTTAAGAATACCTTGATTAGGTTAACTGAGTTGTGAAGACTCATTCTTGGCAAGGGCTGCACCATTCCCTGGGTTTGGATGCTCTATCTGGACAAAAATGGTCTGTGCAGGACCGTACATCCTTCCCTGCTTCTTGACTGCAGACACAATGTGGCCAGCTGCCTCACACTCCTCCCTCCAGAACTTTCTAGCTGTGAGCCAAAAGAAATCCTTAGTCTCTTAAACTGCAGCAGGAAAGATAAGTAAGACACAACTAGACTCTTTCAGTAAGTCCTCTGTCCCTCTGCTCTATCTGCAATGTTGCCCTGTACATTGGGAGTCATGTTGCCTTATTCCTCTGCTATTTCTTGTACAGATATCCAGTCCAACATATGGAGAGGATCCGTGCCTCAGATCTCAGCGCCATTAAAGTAACTGCTTCCCAGAACAAGCAAGTCATGTTAATTTCCTCAGCACTGGGGACCTTACCATTGGTCTTCCATTTGTCTTCCTGAAGCTGAGAATGACATGACAGCCCAGGTCAGTAACTTTACAGGAGCTGTATGACATATGTACCTATCAGCTTACTTTCCTTCTCATTTCTTTTTATTCTTCTTTCTCTACCCCAAGCCTTTTCCTTTCTCCTCCCCCAACTCTCTAACAATGTGAATTTTAAAAAATATTTTGGGATGGGGGTTGCCAACAAAGCAATAAATGAACATCTAAACCCTAAATATGTTCTCATGATAGCTGGCTTTCTTTGGAGATAGACCCTCACCCCTGCAACTTGCCTGGAAGTACCTGCTGTCACCAACGAGGGGTGTTCAGCGCTACTCTGGATAAGGCAGTATGGTTGAGGGCCAGAAACCTAAGATTCCTAGCCAGCTATAAAATAGTCAGGGCCCCTCACATGGGGGCAAAGCTCAGAGTCGGACTACCTGCCCTCCACTCCTCCACGCTCCATCCATTACCACCCCACTGCTGCCCTGAGATGAGTTAATTTTACGTGCCTTCCCTTTGATTTCCTCTTTGGGCAATGGAATAAAAAATGGTACTGACCTGATAAAAGTTGCTGAGAGAAGTGAATGAATTCAAACATGAATGAGTGACTAGACCAGGGTCTACCACACTGCACACGTGGGCCAGTATGATAATAAGGGTCTTGGTCTGCAAGCACAGTTTTAAGTCCTACTGACACTAATATTTCTCATTGTAAGTTACTAAGTCAACAAAATGATTTTCACGGCAATTTTACTTATTTACGTCTGGGCCTCACTTGTAAATCCCTGTGAAGTCAGAGTTCTCTCTAAATAGTAAAAATGCTTGCCATGTGTTTTCTGGCTTACTAAAGGACAAAGCAGAGACGAAGACAACAAAACTAGCTTCCAGTGCATATCTCCACTTAGTAATAGGATGAGTCCTAAACCACACCCAAAGGTGCGTGAACATACACTTTCACAACCACATACAGGAAGGCAGGTTCCTGCTAGCACTCACAGATGCAAAACGGCCTTCACTTTTAATGTGTCTGTCTGGATGAAAAAACCTCACGACCTGATTCTAGGGACATTCTTCAAAATCGAGCCCTTCGGGTAGCTATCAAAGAACTCCACATAGCTGTACACTTGAGGTCCTGACTTACATCTGAGTTTACAAAACTGCCACCTCATACATCCGCATCTAAACTGCAAATTGCAAACTTCTCAGGTTTCACATCGAAGGCAGCAAACCAGTACCGCCCTGACTCTGTTCAGGCCAAAGCCAGTCTGAGCCACTTCCTTCACCCTCGGCCCTGAAAAATTGAAGTCGTCAGAAAATGCCTGTTTCACAAATGTGTGTGCATTTTTTTTTCAAATTCGGCAGCTTGATACTGCCACAAAGGAATAAAACTGAATAATTATTAAATTTGGAGTGACTGACACTTAGAAGAAAAAAAAAAAAAGAACTCTAGAGGAAAAAAAAAATACTGAAGCAGCATAAGTTGCCATAAAGGATGATGTAAATGGCTCGTTTCAAGTTTCAGCCTTTGCAATACCAAGACTGCAGGCTGGAAGAAAAGGGTTGGGAATTCGTCAGTATTATTCTCCCACTTTCTACGATCCTGCCTGGTAATTACCAATCCAGTGAAAGTTCCTACGAGTTTATTAAGCCGAACTGAAATATAGCAGTCCCTTTAAATGCTCTCGTTTCTCCACACCACAGAAAACATTCTAAGAACAACTTTTAAAAAGTGAACCAGGAAGAGTGGTCAAGAAAACTGCTTTGAGGAACTTCGTGCTCTCTCCAGTTTAGTTCTCCAGAGTCACCCTAAGCAAAGCACTAGAACGCACTGCAGAGCGACAGAGCCTAAAGCGAACAGTCGAGAGGGTCGGGGGCCAGACTGTCCCGCTGGTAGCGCGCGTGCAGCTCTCCGAAGCGACCCAGAGAACCCGGGTCCCCGGCTCGCTCTCCTCCGGGCCCCGCAGGCAGCGGGCGCAAACCCCACCCAGCCGCAGCGCACTTCCCGTTCGCCCGCCGGTCAAGAACTCCAACTTGACAGCGACACGCCGAGCTATGAGGAAGTGGCCGCGACCTAGGTGCTGCCACCACCATTCCCGCTGGACCGTCCTGGCGAGCAGAGCTGAGGGAGCCCGAGGGCACTGCTCGGGAACTCCAGCCCTGCGCCCCGCAGCCTGGAGATCCGCACGCGCGGCGCGCGGAGTTCTTACCTGGTTTGACCGGTTTGGGAGGTGGCTTGGACATGGCGCTAGGCGGAGCAGCTAGGTTCAGCCGCGGGAGCCCCACACGCGGACGGGAACAGGGCGCCAAGCCTGCGCTGGTCGCAGTCGCTCGGGACCCGCGCGCAGCCGATGCGGGACACTCGGACCAGCGAGCTCCGCAGACAGCTCTGCCTTCCTACCAGGAAGTGGCCGCGCCTCGCCGACCTCTGATTGGCTTCTGCGGGGAGCGGGCGGAGCCTCCGATGTCCAGCCTGCTCCCGAGCGCTAGGACCCCGCCCTCCCCGTGGGGGAGGAGCCCTATGGTGGCCACGCCCCCAGGCCTTCCTTGGTGGGGACCTTGAAAGCTGATAGAGGGCTGCACGGACGGAGGCGGTGGTTCCCTTGAGACCCTCGTGTGACCTGTTCTGCGGCCCTGCTGGGGAGGACTCGAACCCGCTTCGGTGAGTACTCACTGGCAGCTGCGTAGCCGCGCCGAGGCCTGGGCACCTTCCTGAGTCTCTTGCGCGGGACCTAGAATCTGATTGCGTCTAAGGAAACCGCTTTGGGACTCCCGCGCCTAAGAGGCGCTCTTGACTGGGAGGGCGCTAGCTCTAGATAGGTAATCATACATTTGCTGGTAGGGAACTCGGGTCTTGATTCCCACGGGACAGGACGCTCCTTTCAGCAGCATTTGGTTAACAAACTCCAACCCACCCACTTGCTACCTGGCTTTGTAAAAAGCCTTCTAAGAATTTTTTTTTTTTTTTTTTTTTTTTTTTTTTTTTTGGTGTTTAAATAGCTGAGACAAAAGCAAAAAGCACAGTGTTTTGTGGCTTGTGACACGCCAAAGTCAGGGGAAACTTAGATTTCCGAGTCCATAAAATTTTCTTAGAACACACCATGCTCGTTGTCTTATACATTGACTGTGACCGCTTTCTCATTACAACTTCAGTTGAATAGTTACCCACAATGCCAAAACTATATACTGCTGGTACTTTACAGAAGTTGCCCAAGTCTAACCGACAGTTTGTCTCATGATATTGTATTCATGCATTCATAAACTCACAATGTTATGCCTATTATATATTAGGGGAAATAAAAAATGGAAATACTGATTACGTAAGACTCTACAGGGTCAGCAAGATGGTTCAGCCGCCCTTGCTGCCAAACCCGAATACCAGAGTTCAATCTTCACAACCACATGACGCAAAGAGAACTGACACCCACAGGTGGACCTGTGACCTCAACATGTGTACTGTGTACTGTGATGAGCATGTACCTATCCACATACATGCATACAACATAAATACAAATGTAACAAAGCAATTTTTTTTTATAAAGGAACCTTCATAAAATGGAGGTCAAAGTGTCTACTGAATGAAGGTTGGTTTCTTTAAAAAGTCAGTGAAGCCTCAAGAGGCATAGGTTACTAGGAGCCATGTGCTGGCCATACTCCCAGGCCATGCTTACTAGGCGCTCCAGCTGTGGCAGATACCTGTTTGCCAAAAGGGATCAAAGTTTCAATTAATAGTAGGAGATTGTCCTGTTCGTGGGAGAGTGTCAGGTCACTGAGAAATAAAATACAGAAGACAGAAGACCTGGAAACATGTCTGGAACTCATGTGAAGAGCACACGTTTGCCCTTGTCATCTCTCAGATTTGTGGTGGGGCTGCTGATTCCTCACATGCCCCTGGGAATCATTCTGCATCTTAGAATTCTAAGTAAACCATGTTCAGAAGTGTAATATATGAAATATAAACATAAACCAACTATGAAGACAGTTCAACATTTCACTGAGAGCAAATCAAAAGTATTTTTTAAAAATCTGCAAAAGAGCCAGTCTTGGTGATGCATCCCAGGGAAGGTAGCCTAGCCACAGAGGCAGCCTTGACTATGTAGCAAGTTCCTGACCATCCAGCCTGCATAGTAAGATGCTGTCACAAGATGATATTAATAATAAATAAACTTGAAAAAAACATAAGGGACTCAGTAAGGCTTGCTCCTTGCTCAGTCTGTTCTTCGCTCCCTGGGCAAATGGTCTCAGCTGCTGAGGAAAAGAAACTGCATAAATACTGCACGAGATTCAAGGTGAGAGAGGGCACCCTGATTTTGTTACTCTGGAAAGATCAAAAGGTTCTTTCTCCAGAGGCCTCATAAGATTTCCAGTTTATCTTTGTTCTGGGTTGTACATACTCTGCAGCAAGGGCAGAGTTAGAGGCAGATACCTGTAATCCCACCACTTGCATGTAAGAGGCAAGAAGATCAATATAAGAACATCCATCTTCCACTACATAGGCACTCTAAGTTCAGGCTGAAGCACGTGAAAAGCTTCCAAAACAAACAAGAAACAAATGTGTGTATACATGTCTATATACACATCTGTATATATGTATATGTATATATATGTGTGTGTGTGTGTGTGTATATATATATATATATATATATATATATTTTTTTTTTTTTTTGAGAAGCCTGGCAACTCTTTTGGGGGGGAGAGGAGGATTTTGAGACAGGGTTTCTCTGTATAACAGTCCTGGCTGTTCTGGAACTAGATTTGTAGACCAGGCTGGCCACGAACTCACTGAGTACCACCTACCTCTGCCTTCCAAGTGCTAGGATTAAAGCTGCCCTGTGGATGCTGAGAATTGAACCTGGGTCCTCTGGAAGAACAGCCAATGCTCTTAACCACTGAGCCCTCTCTCCAGTCCCTCAAACCATATTTAGAGAGGCTCTAACTTATAATGAAATGGAAGTTGCTGGTGCCATGTCTGAACATGGAGTGGATTGCCTTGTGTATCCAACATATTTTGAAAAGGACAGTTTCAGGGATTTTTAGGCTCTCACTGGCCACTCAGCCTAGCCCCAGCCTTGTTTCTGCATGGCTCCGTTCTCCTCCCCTCCTGCATTATCACCTGTCTTTGCTGGTGAGATAGGCCCAGCATTTACCCAAACACTGCTTTGGATAGTCCCAGGCTGCTAACTAATGTAGACCTGGGTGTCTGGGTTTTAAACATCTGTTATTTCTTTAGTATGTATGTGGGCACATGAGGGCCATGCACATATGCAAAAGTCAGAGAACAACTCAGAAGAATCAGTTCTCTCCTTCCATGTGAGTTCTGGGGATCGAACTCCAATCCCCAAGCTAGTAGTGAATAACTCAGATTATCAGGCTTTGGGGTGGGGGTGCTGTTTGGATCTGAGAGAGAAAAGCACAGCCTTGTGTTTCCTTGTATTTGGCTGCAGGAATTTCCACCCCTCTTACCCAAAGGGTTTTACAAGTAGGTTCTTCCACTTCATTTCACATCTCTGAATTGTTAGATTCTCCACACAGGTAACCCCCTTAAGTCTTTCTAGTACCACAACCACAGTCATTACTTACATCCTATGTAATTGAGGCAGTATCCTGATGCATGTACAGAAATATGTCAGGCAGGAAGGGGACCAGTATTTTCCAGTAACTGTACATAGCAAATGCATGGCATGGCACACCAATAAGAATGACATGGGTTATCCACCAGAGCCTGACAAGCCAGCATACATGCAATATCCTTTTGTCCTCTTGGTAATGAAGCATTTCAGAGCCTCTGCCGATGATAGGAAGATGTTCACTTAGTTGATCTAATTTCCTTCCTGACCTTTCTAGAAATGGATTTATGTCATTCCAGGCTGGACCAGTTTATACTTCTGCAAAGCTTCAGAATTTATATTGTAGCAGTGAAAACTTTTCAGAGAGAGGTTGGAATGACAGACTGACTTCTGTTTGTCTCTGCCACTGGTGACAGTGCCTTCTTTTATTAGGCAAGCAGGAAGGGCATGGAGAGGTATCTTTGAGTTCTCTAGAGGAACAAAACTGATAGGAAAAAGAAACATGTAGGGGATTTATTAAGATGGCTTCCAGGCTATGGTCCAGCTAGTCAAAATGGCTATCTACCAGCAGAAGGTCCCAGAATCCAGTAGTCTGTTAATCCATGAGGCTAGATGTCTCAGTTTGTCTTTAGTATATGCCAGAATTCCAGAGAAATGGGCTCTAATATCAGTGAAGTAATGAACTTGCCAGCAAGCAGGTGAAAAGAGAATCCTTCCTCCTCCTTCTTCTTCTTATTTTTTTTTTTTTAAAGCAGGATTTTTCTGCATCGCTTTTGAAGCCTGTCCTGAAACTCGTTCTGTAGACCAGGCTGGCCTCAAACTCACAAAGATTCTCCGCCTCTGCCTCCAGAGTGCTGGAATTAAAGACATACGCCACCAATGCCCAATGAGCACCCTTCTTTCTTCAATGTCCTTTATATAGGCTGCCTGCCAAAGCCATATCTTCCCACTCAGATCTGGATTAAAAGTGGGTCTTTCCAGAAAACTGACACTAGAGAAATATCCAGAGACCTACAAGGATGACCCCAACCAACAATCTGAGCAGTATTGAAGAGGCTACCTTAAATGCCCTTCCCTGATACTGAGATTGATAACTACCTTATATGCCATCCTAGAGCCCTCATCTAGCAGATGATGGAATCAGAAGCAAACACCCACAGCTAAAGATTGAACCGAACTCCTAGAATCCAGTTGCAGAGAAGGAAGATTGATGAGCAAAGGGGCAAGACCAGGCTACAGAAACCCACAGAGAGACAGCTGACCTGAACAAGAGGAAGCTCATGAACCCCCAGACTGATAGCTGGGAAACCAGCATAGGACTGACCCAAACCCCTTGAATGTGAGTCTCAGTTAGAAGGCCTGGGCAGTCTAAGGGATCTCTGACAGTGGAACCAGGATGTATCCCTGGTGCACTAAAGGACTTCAGGAGCACATTCCCCATGGAGGGATACTCCCTTAACCCTGAGACAGGAGGGAGGGCCTAGGCCCTACCCAAAAATGACTTTGACAGATTTTGATGATCCCTCCTGGAAGGCCTCACCCTCCCTGGGGATGGGAGGGAATGGGTTGGGGGGGGGGCAGTGAGAGGGAGAGGGAACTGAGATCGATTTGTAAAATAAGAAATAATAATAATAATAAATGGGTCTTCCTACTTAAAGTGACTTAAGTAAGAAAAAAATCCCTCACAGGTGTGCCTAACTGCTTGGATTTTTGTTCATTCTAGATATAGTCAAGTTGACAACTATGAATAGTTACCACAAGGTAACCCAGGGAAATAGATCACACAAGCATGCCAGTTAACAGGCCCTAAGAAAACACCAGCTATTGGCAACAGGAAGCCAGTCACTGGGGAATAAGAGGTTGAGGCCACTGATCCCCTCTTAGCTGTTACTGCTTTTCAGGACTAACTGTGGACAACCAAACGATAGTAATTTTATTTTATGTATATTTCTATATTAGAAAATATTAAGAAGACGTGATTTCCAAGGCCAATTATGAAAACCTTTGTCATTGGAATTGGCGGGTGAGTAGTTCCTCCGTAAACAGCAGGCAAGGCACTGCAGATGTTCAGATGGTGCTTCATGTGAACGTGGTGGAGAAAGCTGTGGGGAGTCCCAAGTCCCAGGAGAGTGCTGTTGCTTGACCATCAGTGGGAGGGGCCAGGGTTTCCCTGGGAAGGAAGAGGAGGGGCCCTCAATATTAACAACATTTCCATTTGTTTACTGGAGATGAGGTCTAACTGGTCACTCCTTTGGTTGAGGGTGATTATTATTTCCCATGTGGCTGCTCTGGCATGGTCTAAGAAAAAAAAATAACACTCCCTTTTTTATGCCCAGCTTTTAATCTGGGAGTGCAAGAGGCTTCCTTTCCTCCAGTCTTCCTCCTCCTTTAGGGTAACCAGGGGTACTATTTGGCTAGGCTAGTTTGTGTTGCCCTAGTGTTAATATTAACCATGAATCCCTCTGTCTCAAGTATTCTAACTTGTGTGGTCATCTGACCTGTGGCACCAAAGGCCGATGTGCAAATGAGACATCGAAAGCAACTGGAAAGATATTATTTGTCTCGCTACCGGATTATGTCTGTCATTCTATAAGATCAATTGAGATACTACAAATGTAATTTGAGGGAGGTAAGCTGTTGTGTTGTTTTAGTACATCCAAGCAGGAACCAATTAGGAATCGGGTGGTACTGGGTGTAGTTGGGTAGCAGAGCATTTGCCTGCGTGTGTGAGGTCCTAGGTTCTAACCCTAGCATCAGACAAAGGAGAAAACAACAACAAAACAAATTAAGAGTGAATTGGACACCAGAATGTGCCTTATTGTGGCTCCTGTCTGCCCGGAGCCAAAGCTGCGTTACTACTCTAACCTCCCCTGCATTTCACACTCTCCCATAGTAGGCCATCATGCCCTAATTATAATCTTCTAATTTTCCTGTACTGTACGCTTCTAGCAGTTTAATCCTGGGGTGAGCCATGACAAGAAAGTGTTCTCATCTTGTTTGATTAACTGCAAACACTGTTTTCAGCATCTGCCTGTACTTCTGCACCCTCCTGTTACATGAGGAACTATGTATTTATTTGTAAACCAGGAAAGGAATGGCATCAGGCATCCACTGGAGCTCTTCCCTGGGATCTGGAGAGCTTGGTAAAGGAGGTTCTGAGCTTGCTGAAGGGGAAGGAGCAGGCTCTGAGGCGTCACCAGACCCACTGGAATGGTCACATTCCATTTGTGGATTACAGGCTCTGTGCTCAATGATGAAACTCTCTTTCCCAGCTGGTCCATGCCCTGCAGGATGCTTCACTGTGGCTGCAGCTGAATCAGTGGGAAGGGGTCTGTTTATTGCTGATTTAATACACCATCTTAAAGAGAACGTATAAGAAATGACACATTTTCTGGCCAGATTTCTCAGATCATAGTAGATTCCTCCTTTTAAACAAAAGCTTGGTATCTTTAGTATGGGCTTGCAGTATGGTTTATAGACATTTGTTTAAAGAAAGAGAAAGGAAGGAAGGAAAGGTCATATCAGTGTTCTCAGTATGTAGCGTAACAGCTCCATACTTTACCTACCTGTGTATTGTAAGGTAAAATGGACAGTAGTATTAATATCTTCCACTTTGCAGGTATAAGGCATTTACTTGATAAGGCATTTACATATTTACAATTACATTACATGATAATGATTACATGATTTATAAGCATTTTGTTTAGGTTTTGTTGTGGTGGTTGTTGTTTGGTGGGATGAGTCTTTTTGGTGGTTTGAAGTTGTTTTTGTTTTAAATGTAGACCAGGTCTCACTATGTAGCTCTTGCTGGCCTGGAACTCACTTTGTAGACCAGGGTGGGCTTGAACTCACAAGAGATCCACCTGCCTCTGGCTCTGAGTATCAGAATCACACCACCATGCCCAGCCTCACAACAAGTACTTTTGATAAATGTATTTCTCTCTTTTAGATTATAAACAGGGTCCGGTTGATCTCACCCAGAATTAATCATGGGTTCTAGCCAACAGGTGTATAGTCAGGAGATTTGTGCTATGAACATTTGGGGTGGGGTGAAATCTTGGCCTCTTTTGAGGGTGAATTTAAATGCACAAAATGAAATAAAGAAATACAAAGAAAAAAACCTGTATTAACATACAGGTATAAAATATTTGTAAACAAATCTGTGTAATAAGTAGCATCTGTAAGCTTGAAACAATAGTGAGCAAGACACCTGCTCTTCAACATCTCAGAGTGGAAGGGGGTGCAGTTCTTGTAGATGCCCAAGTCACTGGCATCATCACTACTGTAATTTACTACTTATAATAAAAGGAGCTGCTAAGTTTCTGTTAGCATTTATAAAAATGGGGTAATCTCTTTCCTTTCAAATTCACAATGACCCTGAATTCTTTCATGGATCCTTTGGATGTGACTGAGATCTGAGCTAATCACTTCTTTGCAAAAAAAATAATAAAATAAGCAGGCATGTGACTGATACCTGTAATCCCAACACTCAGGAGATTAGGGCAAAAGGTTCACTGTAAATTCCAGGGCAGCCTGGGCTACCCAGTAAGGGGGTCAGTATGGATTGCAGAGTGACACCCTATTTCAAAAGAGAAACCCAAAACGCAAAGAAAGATTGGCTAGAGAAATGCGCCTCACATGCAGGGTAGAAAGAAATAGGATACACTAGTTAGTTGGGTGCCTGTGCCTTTGAATGTCAAGGTTCAGCCAGAGGGAACAAGTAACTGACTTGATAGGAGATATAACCCTAGACCTTCACATGGGCCCCAGCTACAGAGAGAGGGGAAAGAGGCAGGCCACAGGAAAGAGGTGGGCCCATGGGTGGGCAGGTTTCTAATAAGCCACGCCTCCTTTTTCCTGTGTGGTTGAAACAATCACAGTGACAAAGAGCAAGCAGTTCTATAAACTTGCAGCAAGGTGTGCCAAGGATATCCTCTGGAGTGTGTATCGAACATGAGCTGTTTAGATAGTCAAAGTGTTGTTTTGCTTCCTGCACAGTGTCTGCGTTTTGAAGTTTTAGTATCACTTGCCTCTCTCCATCCTTCACTTGACTCTTACTATTAGGACAACTTTATCTTTCAAACCTATGATTTTGCCTGTAAAACAAAACATAATCTGTAAAATGAGAATTTTTATCTCAACCAGTAAATATTGTTTTAAATATCCTTTAGAAAAGTATTGTTGAAGAATGTTCCATGTTCCCCTATGTCTTCTTGAATCTGTTTTTTTCTTGGCTCAGCGTGACAAATGGTGGGAAGACAACTCTGGCTAAGAATTTGCAGAAACACCTTCCCAATTGCAGCATAATATCTCAAGATGACTTCTTTAAGGTATGTATGATGCTTCTTGGGTAAATTATCTAACACAAAAGGATTTAATAACAAAGTTAATTAAATTACATCCCAAAGCTTTGGCTGAGGATAAACTTGGTGCAATAGTGTTACCTGCCCACTAGGTGGCACCATCTGTCAGTGACCGTCTTTGTTCAGCATTATTATCTTAAGCATTTACTAAAAGCTTATCTTTTTAATTGAATATTGCTTCATTTCTGCCCTCCACTCTGTTTTGTCTTTCCAGCCAGAGTCTGAGATAGACATAGATGAAAATGGATTTTTGCAGTATGATGGTGAGTAGAGTCCCTTGTAAAATATTATGAGTGTATATTCATTTTCTTTTCCAAATAAACAACATCTCTCTCCATTAACATAGCACTAAGTGTTTAAATAGGGAGGACAAAAAGGATCCCTGGGTTGATGCATTTGTCACACAAGCCTGAAGACCTGAGTTTGATTCCCTTGTAAATTAGTCCTCTGGTGCTGTGGCATGCAGCCCTCCCCCAACACGGCTCACACACACACACACACACACACACACACACACGCACAAGCACACACACAAAGAGTTTGTTTTGAATGTTTAAATATCGCTATACTTTGAGTCTACCTTTGTAGGTTTCTTGGGGATTTTTGTTTTTGTTTTTCAAGACAGGGTTTCTCTGTATTGCTTTGGGGCCTGTCCTTGAACTAGCTCTGTAGACCAGGCTGGCCTTGAACTCACAGAGATCTGCCTGCCTCTGCCTCCCAAGTGCTGGGACTAAAGGCAGGCACCGCCAACACCCAGCAGTTTTTTGGGGTGTTTTTGTTTGTTTGTTTGTTTTTGTTTTTTATCTCTATTCACCTATTTAAGTAAATAGAAACCTTTCCAAAGATTTATATTTTAAACCCAAAATTTGGATGGTAGATTTTTTTCCCCCAGAGGCTAGGACAGGGTAGGTTTGCCATCCTTCTGTCTACCCCTGGCTCTGGCAAATGTGACTAGCTATGTTTACTACTTTGAGCCTCACCCACCAGAATATTTCATCTACATCACATTCAGCTTTCATGAGTTGAGCTTCCCCTTCCTGGTAACAAAGCACCAGGAAGCCTATTTGTTTGTTTTGACACTTAGAAAATCTTAGAATGTGACTTGTATTCATTTAATTCTCTTGACCAAGGCTGACAATGTTTGGAAGCCAAAGAATCAAAGTCAGCCAGAAAGCATTTCTGTTCCTGCAGAGACTAGTATAATAGAGTTTGTGTTCTTACTCTCTTTTCTAATTAACAGGCTATCCTTCATGGGTATATAGAGACCTAGGGGCTCTCCTAAAATGTCTTGTTCTTTATCTTCGTCTTTGAGGGTCAGAGGATTCAGTGTTGTGTAGCAGTTCTTACAGACACACTGTAACTTTCAGACCAAGTTCTTTCTTTGCTATTCTCTGTCAAGTTTCAATCTTGATACATTGTTTCTTCTCTCCCTTTCTTCCCAAACTTAGAAAACATTTGGTAAGGAGAAAATGAAAAAAATAATTTGAGCAGTGACAAGCATTATTGTTCCCTTTCACTGGGGTGTTCTCATAAACTAGCTAATAAGAAGGTAGTATTTCAATAGGAAAAATGCTAGAAAAATGTGAATAAACCTTCCAAAAAGCAGAGGTCATCGAATAATTGCAATCACCTTTCCTCCAGTTCTGAAGTAGGCAGAGAATTGTAATAGAGGAATAATGACCCAATGGCATGCACGCAGCAAAGCAATCACCCTTGTGCACATTACAGGGAATTACAAACTAACACAAATATGTCACGCAAATGCCTTGAAATGTTCCCACCATAAGTTCATATATCCTATACCTAAGAGTCTATCTTTAGGGAAAAGAGCCAACTTTCCAAGTTAATGTCGCAATGTAAAGTGAGTCCACGTAGACTCAACATTTGTAACCACTAAAATGGCAGTTTATAAAAGCGAGTTAACAAATCTATAACACACTGAATGGCTTAAGCCACAGTAGGGTTCTGCCCACATGGTTCTGGAAGCTGGGGTCTGTGATGAAGATGTAGTCAGGGTTGGTTGCTGTTGAAGGTTACGAGAGACGGTCTATTCTGTGCCACACGCTGGCCTTTGCTACATTGCCACCATCTTTCCTTTCAGTTCACAGGACATCTCCCTGTGTGCGTATGTATCTTAATTTCCACCTTTTATAGTGACATCAGTCACATTACAGAAGGTTATTGCGGTAAATAAGGATCAGGATAAACAAATAGGCCGAATAGATGTTTATTCAGGGAGAAATAACTTACAACCTAGACAGATGAACACCAGGAAATTCAACCCGATTCTCTCCTGTCCGAGTCACGCCAGAAAAAGAGAGCCTTTCCTGGCCCCCTCCGACCTCCTTCCACAGGTCACTTCCGCCCATGGCTCCACCCCCCAATGGGCGTGGTCAGTGCTACAGAAGGACTATCTCACTACAGAAGGTGCCTGCCCTGCTGCTTAACTAATTATGTAAGGTGACCTCATTAATATACTTCCAAATAGGATCATAATCCAACCTACTGGGCATGAGACCTCAATATGTGAAGTTTCAAGGGGGCACACTTCTTAGCTCTTAGAACTAGACGGAAAAAAAAAAAAAACAAAAAACAAAACAAAACCAAAAAAAAACTCACTAACTGAATAATATTTAACCAACTTGAACAAGTGGGTGTATAGAATGGGTACCCAACATAGAAGTGAATAAGGGCATAGAGGAGCTCTGGTAATTGCAAACTGTATTTCAATTCTATAAATTGAGGATGAGTAGGAAAGGAGAGTACTTTTAAGTTACTTAAAATTATTTTTCTTATGGACAGTTTCAAACATACAAAAGCAGACAGAAAACTATAATAAATGGTCATGAGTTTATTACCAGCTTTATAGATAATGAGCCCCTTGGCAGTTATATTTCATCTCTACTCTCACCCATTTTTTCCATTTGCATTTTTTTTTTGTTTGTTTTTGTTTTGAAGCAAATCCTAAGTACCATCAGATTTCGTGTGAAGCAAGACACATGGATTCCATGAACTAAGTAAGATAGATTAGTGGCAGGCTACACCCCAAGGCCTTCCCGTACCACCAGCAATGTGGAGTGACTTGGCCTCTGCACCACCCACAGGAGATTTAGCAGATCCAAATAATGAACCAAACTTCCAAAGTGTGGACAGCAGAGTCAAAATGAGACAGGGCAGGCTGGCCCTCCATCTTGCTCACCCAGGCCGTGTCATATCAGCTACTGTCATCAGAAGACAGTGGAACACTGAGCTTCCGCCCTCATGCAGTAGCCATGATGCCTGTTTCCCTCTGTGACCCTCTCCCACCCAGCCGGTATCATAAGGGTACTGAATACAGATGCACCTCTGAACCCGGGTACACTTCAGAGTGACTGCAAAACAAGACAAGGAGATTAAATAGTACCCTCAGTACACAGTAGCCCTGCAGGTCATCAGGGTACCCCCGAAAGGCACATGTCAGTCAAAGAGGCAGGGCAGCCTCAACTTGAATTAGAGAAATAATGGCCAATGAACTTCAGTTCCGGGCTGACAACTGTCAAAATTGTCTGACAAACATTTTAAAGTGGCTTTGTAACAAAAAGGTCTGCAGGCAACTGCAGACAGGATTGAAACAGGAGAAACGTTTACTGCCCCAAGAAAGAAATAGAAATGTGAAAAAGGAGACAGGAAGAAATTTGGTAACTGAAAAAGAAAAGTGCAATAACCCCATATCTTACAGCTGTTTGTCTGGGTAGGCTCACTGGAAAAATAAACATGAGAGAAAAAGATCCGAAACTCCAAGAAATTACTCTAGCAAACGCCCTAACATCTCTAACTGTGGAGTTTCAGAAAGAGAAACAAGGACTCGGAGACATAATAGTTAAGACTTCACATTACCCCTGTTTGAAGAATCTGAGTGACCCCACTCCCTCAGAATTTAAACAAAACGGATGAAGAAGTAATTACAAATAGCAAACATGGGAAACATCCTACAGATGCTGGTGCTTTGCCTGCTTTTGTGTGTGTGCACACGTGTGCTTACCCAAATTATGGCTATTCTTAGGAGATTTATTTGGAAACTTTGATGCAACTGGCAGTTTCCTGGAAAAAGTGGCACTTAGCCAAACCAGCAGCAGAACCATAAGAAAATCTCAATAGTCTTATCTCTATTAACTTCATTCGCCCACACTTTAAAACTTCACAGTAGAAACACTTGTGAGGGTATGTGGTGCGGTCAGTGGTCCAGGCGTGAGGCTGAGGATTTTCGTGTCTGACAAGTTGCCAGGCTGGTCTGAAGACCATGTGTAAGGAATACCTGTTCTGCTTCTCCACAGTCACATTTGTTAGCTCTAGACGTTGCACAGTTCAGGGTTTAAAATGGCATTTGTATCCTCTAACTTTGCCAAGATTTCATGTAGAACTAGAGAGATGTAGGCTCGGTGGTTAGCCACTGACTGCCCTTCTAGCGATGGGTTCAGTTCCCAGCGCCCACATGACAGCTTAAAACTGTAGGCAACTTCAGTCTATGGGGGATCTGATGTCCTCTTCAGGCATCTGTGAGCACTGTGTACATGTGCACAGACGTACAAGCAGGCAAAACACCCATAAAGAGTTTTTTGTTCATTAGAGATCCTTTGCTGTTAATGGTGGCTACTTTACAAATAGATTATGATATGTTATTTATCTTTCAAATGTATCTATAGTTTGTCTTCCATAAATTAGAATTACAGGCAGCTGTGAGCCACCATGTGACTGCTGGGAATTGACCATGCGTTTCCTCTTGAAGAACATTGGGTGCTCTTAACCACCAAGCCATGGCTCCAGCACTAATTTAATTTTTAATTTTAAAGATTTTGCAGTGAATGTAATAGTTCAGTAGTTAAGTGCTTACCTAGAACACACACACAGAATCCTTGATTTAGTCTCCAGTACCTTAACTTTTCTTTTTTTAATTTTTCAGTATCAGGAAGGAGCTGATAGGATAGTCAGCCATGAATATATGATAGTCAAAGCTGAGAGACAGGTTGCCACCAAGCCTCACAACCTGAGTTCTATACCTAAGATCCCCGTGGTAGGACTGAATCCCTCAATTTGTCCTCTGACCCCCCCCCACCACACACACACACACACACATACACAATAAGTACATCAATATAAAAAAAAAGTACAGCTAGAAATAGTAGCATACGGTTAATTATATTTTACATTTGTGCATCTTTGTTTTTCCATAATTAAAATGTCTCAGACATACCACTCAAATATGTCTCCATTAGTGTTTTAATTGGGTGTTTAAAGTATCTATTATTAGGCACCCTGAAAGATAAGTGAAATGCTGTTATGTCATACATTTACAGAGCCCTGGAGAGACTTATCACAAAAAGCCGACCACCTAAAAAAGTTTGCTATATTAGTTTCATGTGTCTTGTGTTTGTTTCAGTTCTTGAAGCGCTTAACATGGAAAAAATGATGTCAGCCATTTCATGTTGGATGGAAAACCCAGGGCACTCTGCAGGACCAGCAGCCTTGGAAAGTGCTCAGAGGGTTCCCATTTTAATTATCGAAGGCTTCCTCCTCTTTAATTATAAGTAAGCCTTCCCACTCTAATACCAAGCTGAGGGAATGTGGGGGTGGGAGAGAGGGAGAGAGAGCCTTGTGAACTGAGTGTGTTGTTATCTTAGGCCACTGGACACCATATGGAACCGAAGTTACTTCCTGACTGTTCCATATGAAGAATGTAAGAGGAGGCGGAGGTACGCTTCAAAACCACCTTTGTGCCTTGGTACCCAAAAGATGAAATACAGAGAAAACAAGAAAAGTCGCATTATTGAACAAGCCTTAACTCGGAAATCAAACATTTTTGCAGAAGTGCTCATCACCTGGGGTGGTTATACAGTAACTTCTCTAAGAGGAAAGGCTGGTGTCACCCTGTCAGGTCCCTTCCTCCTCGCCCTCCATTCACATGCTCTGCTGTCACTGCAGAGACCCCCAGCTAGATAAGAGAGGAAGCCAGCCTGTCCATATTTCACTCCTTATTTCTTCTTGAACTTGATCCATAATTCTTTTATAAAACATGGGGGGCTGAGAAAAGATAATTATGAGCATTAGTGAGTTACAGGCTTACTGTTTAAATTAGAGAACCAAATCCATTTTGCTACCTTTCTCGGTACAACTGAGCTTAAGAAAAAATTCCTCTTTAGAGTTAACATGAGTGATTTTCACATTGTCTTGACCATGATTCATTTACTTTGTCAATCATAATTTTGTATTAACATCAAGTTTCCTGCATGTTTTTCCAGTACAAGGGTATATGAGCCTCCTGACCCTCCAGGGTACTTTGATGGCCACGTGTGGCCCATGTACCTAAAGCACAGACAAGAAATGAGTACCATCACCTGGGAGATTGGTAAGTACCTCCCCGGTTTCTGGTAAGGACTTTTCCTTCTCACCTATGTCAAAGCACAGAAAGGACTACTTGGAAAACATTTTCCTCGAGTTCTTAAAGAGATGCTCAGGTTCTTGCTGGTTTCTTTTTCTCCTGGTAGTTCTTGTCAAACTTGCCAGATTCCACATGGTCATTCATTGAACCACCCTTGCCTGATTGTTGCCTGTGGTGGTGGTGGGGGGGGAGGGGTGAAGGAGCCAGACCCAGTCTACTCTCACCCAGCTGAGGTTATACCAAGAAACCCCATTCAAAGTGTGTGCCTTACAAACAGGTCTTTTCTCCGGGAAAGCATGGATATTAAGTACCAGGGAGTCTGCCTATCTCAAGGTCCCCGAGAAAGCTATCTGTCACTAAACTTACTAGTTTAGCTGGCCTAGGGGCAGGGGAAGTTAAGTTAGGGGGAATGACTGTCATCCTGACCACAGGAAAAAACAGAGAAAAGACCTAGGGACAGGAAGGCATGAGCAATAACTAAAAGAGACCATTGTGTTTTTAGAAGAGAAAAGCAAGGGAAGGATGTGCTGCTGCTGCTATGGGCAAGGGCCAGGCCCTTTGATGCTAATAGGATGTCCTAGGAGAACTAGGAAACTCTACAGACAGGCTCTAAACACAGCCATGGTTGGTACATATTCTTTTCAGTAAGATCTCTCCTGATCTGAAGGGTAGATTTAGAGGTTGCATATTGAATACAAGTACTCAGTAGAACTGGGGCATAAAAGTGTCAAAGGAACTAGCAGGTGATATCTTGGGGGGGGGACATGAAGGAGTTGTAGATATGTAAGGAAGGACTGCACATGTGTTTTGCAGGAAATAAGATTGAGGTACCTGAGAGACAATGTACCAGTCTGGAGGCAATATGAATACTTGGGCCTTGAGCTAAGAGACTGGAGTCTATATACTGTGCTCATGGGGAGACAGTGGCATAAGTCTGTTGAACAAGACAGAGGAATCAGACTGGCATACTTTTCAGAGCAAAGGAAACTCATTCCTATTGGATAGAGCCTGTTGGCCCTCCACGGAAGGCCTCAGATCTGTGCAGAAAAGGCACAGAATCCATCTCAGAGCTGTTGTTGGGTTGCACTGAACCAGCAGCTACTGTGCTGTATAGGAGATACATCTTCTTATATCTTTCGCTCACTACTTCTAAAGTCCAAGTCTAATAACTTTGTCCTTGTTCTTTGGCCTAGTTAATGTCAGATGTGTAATCCACACAGCCTAGAGTCATCTGAGGGAGTCTCAACTGAGGAATTGCCTAGATTAGATCAGCCTGTAGCCATCTCTGTGACAGATTGGCTTGACTGCTGATCGATGTGAGAGAGGAGCTATTCATTGTGAGCAATGCCACCATAGGCATTTGGGCCTGGGCTGTGTGGGAAAGCTAGCTGAGCGAGCCAGAGAGCAGGCCAGCAAGCAGCATCCTCCATGGTTCGCGTGACAGGCTCTCACTTTGAGTCTGTGCCCTGACTTCCCTCAGTGAACTGTGATCTGGAAGTGTCAGCCAAATAAACCCTTTCTTCCCCAAGGAAGTGATTAGAGTGTTTATCACAGCACCAAAAAAGTAAAAGTAAAAGTTAAGACACCCTATTTAAATGCAGCCAGCCCATGGTTTCCGGCTTCTTGGGATAAACCCTATAAAGACACCAAGGCACACCCTTTCTCCAAAACTTCATCTCCTGTGCTGTTCCTTCTCTGCCGCCAGCCACCCACCCTTTCCAGCAGGCAGCTTCTGTTCAGATTTCCTCATCCTTGCTGTGGTACGACTCAAGGGTCCTTTTCTCTTTAACTCAGGTAACTTCTTTTTCTCCAAAAGTGTTTGTGGCAGCTCTATTGAAAATGTGTAACTTCAGGTCTCAGTAGTGTACCATAGAGTCCAGACTGACCCATGGTTTAAAGGCTTCACAGAGGATCCCAGTTGGGCATGCATTGTGAATTGCTCCTCTTTGATGCAGGCACCACTGCAGTCTCCTCATGTGTATTGTTCAGTCAGGCACCAAGAACAAACCAGAGAAATTACACAGGCCCAGATAGTGAGCCAGTGAGTTTATTGGGAGTACTTAAGGAGCTTGGTGACTCAAAGACATTGCATCACCAAAAAAGCCCATGTCACCATGGAAACACCTCCTCAAAACAGAATCCCCAGAGCTGCCTGTACCACATTCTGGCTGCTGATGTAACCTTTGGATGGAGCCTTGTGAATCTAACTAACTCTCAGGAGCTCAATGGACCAGTTAGTTCATTTATTTTGGAGTGTGATGAGCCTCCTTCCTCTCTCTAGGAGGCAATGTCTCAATGCAGAAGAAATAGGTACACAGTGAATGCCATATGCATAATTCTTAGCTTCTTTCTCTCTCTTTGCATTCCTTCCCTCCTTTCTTCCTTCTTTAGGTCATAGTTCTGGGTTCTTTAGTGAAAGCTATTGGTGTTTTAAAGAAATGCCAAAGTATCCTTTAACATTTCTGTAAGCGGACTTTTCTTTCCTGCCTGCCAGTTCCCAAATACAGAGACTTAATATTAAGCATAAATGCTCAGCCAATAGCTCAGGCTTATTACTAACTAGCTCTTCCAGCTTAAGTTAACCCATTTCTATTAATCTATGTGCTGCTCATGACTTTTACCTCACTGTTGAACTTCCTATGTTGCTTCTTCTGTGTCTGCCTGACCACTCCTCAGACTCCACCCTTCCTCTTCCCAGCACCCTATCTGCCCCCAAAACTCCTGCCTAGCTACTGGCCAATCAGCTTTTTATTAGCAACAAGAGCAACACATTTTCACAATGTACAGAAGGATTATTCCTCAGCATATTTGAACTGCTCTTTCTCACTTCTCAGTTTATCTGGATGGAACAAGATCTGAAGAGGACCTCCTTTCTCAAGTGTATGAAGATGTCAAGCAAGAGTTAGAGAAGCAAATTGGTAAACTGTTCTATCAAATCGGATGGTGGAGGAAAAAGAAGCTTGAGAACAGTTCATTGCTTTCCAATGTCAGTGTGCACAAACACTGTTCATTCATCCTTTGCTTGAGAAGCTCAGAGTCAGGGATACAGTGCCTGTCTGGATCTTGATCATTCTGTTTGTCAGATAACTTTAGGTTTGGAAATAGTTATCTCTGTTGCATCTCTTAATGGTTTTGTGTTGTTTAATTTAAATTCATAGCAGGAGGCTAACAAAATGGACTGGAAATGATTTTAATATTTCTGGAGCTCCCCTTTTTGCTTTATGCTCTTAAATATTTTTCATGAAGTTTCTAGGTTATTTGGGTTGGGAGGGTTGGGTTTTTTTTGTTTTGTTTTGTTTTGAGACAGGGTTTCTTTGTGTAGCCTTGGTTGCCCTGGAACTAGCTCTGTAGACCAGGCTGGGGTGTTTGTTTTCAAATACAACTTTCCTGAAAGGTGTAGAAGACTACATAAATCTGGCACCAGTGAAAAGAAAATCCAGAGGTGGCATAGCTTTAGGCTCAGCTGGAGTAAGGGGCTAGAATAGCGTTCTCAGAGCTCTGCCATAATTCTGTTTAAGTTTATTTTTAAATCAGGCTCACTCTACCCTCAAACATGATAATCTGCTGTCAGTGTCCAATGTGAAATGATAGCTTAACATTTCCAAGCTTGCCATCAGTGGATACATGCAGAGATAGATGTTCCCATGTTATCTTTACTACTTCCTATTATTTATTTTAGGCAGGTTTGTTTTTGTGGTACTAGGGATTAAACCCAGACCTATATGTGTATGCTGAGCATCACTGGTTATATATGCAGACTTCATACATATACTGAGCATCATTAGGTTATGTACCCAGACTTCATACATGTGCTGATCATCATTGATTATGTTCCCAGACTTTATGCATGTGCTGAGCATCATTGGTTATATACCCAGACTTCATACATGTGTTGAGCATCACTAGGTTATATATCTGGACTTCATGCATGTGCTGAGCATCATTGATTATATACCCAGACTTCGTACATGTGCTGATCATCACTGGTTATATACCTGGAATTCAACAACTTTTATAAGTGATTTTTCAACGTAACTCAGCTAAAATGATCCAGGGAAGGTTTTTGCAATGATATTTCTTGGGTCCCACCTGAGATCTAATTTTTAAAAAATTTCCATAGAGAAAGTAAAAAGGAACACAAAGAAGGAAATTGGAATACCATTCTGGAAAAACAAAACTCTAGATCTAGTGGCTAGATTTGAATTATAAGAATTAAAATAGGAGCTGGAGAAATGGCTCGGCATTAAGAACACTTGCTACACTTGCAGAGGACTGGAGTTCAGTACCCAACACCCACATTGGGCAGCTCTCAGCTGCCTGCAACTCTAGCTCCGAGAGATCTGACTCTTCTGACCTCTGCTAACACCCACGTGCATGTATACTTCTCTCCTTCCTTCCTTCCCTCCCTCCCTTCCCTCTTCTCCCCTCCCCATAACACACATACACAAATAATCATTAAAAAATTCTTTTAATAAAGATCTCACTATGTAGCTCCAACTGGCCTGGAACTAGCTGTGTAGAACAGGCCTCCCTTGAACTCACAAAGATCCACCAGCTTCTTCCTTCCAGAGTGCTGGATTAAAGGCATATGCCACCACACCTGACCTAATAAAAACAACTCTTAAAAACAAAATAAAATGATTCCTATGCAGAATTGATAGTACATGCCTATATCAGGTAGATAAGGAAGGTGAGTCATGAGTTCAAAGATAGCTTGAGCTATAGAGTGACAGCCTATCTCAAAACAAGGGAAAAGATTCTTGTGGTTAACACAGATCAAATGTCATGGTCAGCTGGCTCAAGAAAAAGCAGCATTAGCCTCAACATCGGGGAAGAATGTAGCAGGGTTTGGAGTGAGAAATCCCCGGTGTGGCCCGCATGTCAAACACTTGGTAAGAATTAAGTTTAACCTCTCTTTGCACTTCTTCCCTGACTAGCCATACAAGCCATCTGGGCCTCCTATTGATCCTGACTATTCCTGGTTGTAAGGTCAGCCCTTTACATAGGCAGGAAGCCCTTTGAGGAAATTTTAGGACCATGTTGAATTTTCTTCAGATAAATAGAACTAATAATCCTTACCAAGTCTGCCACTACCCTGCCACCCCACTCTGAAACTGTCCTGACACCCACCCCTGCTATCTCACCCTGACACACACCTTGCCACCTGTAGGCCTCCCATAATTCAGCCCAGCCCACCAGCACAAGTAGATGAAGAGCAATGGGGTGATGCGAGTTGCTCAGATTTACAAATGAAAACCCAGAGCCAGAACTACTTATCCGAGAAAGACAAGATACAATCTGGCCCAGCCAGAGGGCTCAGAATGTTTTAGTGCCCAGATACTAACATGTCTTCCCAGTAATGCTTTGGGAGGCGGGGTAGTGATGCATATGTCCTGTCTGAGGCTTAACACTAAATAGTCATTTGTTCTCAGTAATGAGTCTTCATCTACTGTTGAGGTGTCTAATTTCCAAAGACAGGCTTAAAATTTGATGCAAGGATTAAAACAATGGTATTTGTATTCAGTGTGGTTCTTTGTGGAGAAAGCAGAACTTTTGCTTCAAAAGTCCTTGTAATCTTAACAGTCTTAGGTATTAGATGTGAAGACCTAATCAAATAAGACTTGGGGTACTCATATTTTTTTCTCTTTATTCCTAAGGTGTGTGAGTAACAGCACAAAAATGGAATGCAGCAAGTCCTCCTGAGATGGATTAAGAAACTTAAGGACAGCAAAACCCTGTCTTGGGAGAAAAAAGGAAAAGAAAGAAACATGGAGGGATGCGCTGAAGAACATTAACCAGGATGCAGTGTGCCCTGCAGGACAGTGACAGCCCTTCTATGTCTTTGTTCATTTTATCACATTTTATCATTTTTCACAATATGGAGAGTATTGATTGTATGCCCATGCTATTGGACAGGAATCTCTCATGGATACAAGATGGTTTGCTCTCACTCTGCAGAAGGCACAGCACATTCATGCACCTCTATAAGAATGGAGGTGAGATTTTCCTAGGACCTAGAGTGAAAAAAAGATGAGTATTGTGTTGTGTGTGTTTCTACATTTGTGTGTGTAGTTGTTATGCATATTTGTGTTGTATACACACACTCAAACACTATACATGTTTTTTTCTAGTTTTCATTGTTTTTGTACTGATTACAATATTTAATTTGATAAATGCTGTCTGCAATCACATAACAATGCTCCCCACTTGCAATCAGCAACATTACCCAAAATAAGGGTCTCACTTTGACTGGGTCAGCAGCCCCTGCTGCATCTGGAGACTCTGTGGTTTGTAGTAGTGGGTTTTCATCCATTTGTCCAATACCAGTGTGTCTCTGTGATGAGGTTATTTTTATCCATAGAAGGATTTGGTGTGTGTCACTTGGTTTTCTGGAACCAACAGTCTGAATTATAAAGTCCAATCATATGTAAAACCAGGCCCTTTCTTTGGAAGGCATGGGCAGTGGACGGGAATTGTGTAATTTCTTAATGCCTCTTTCAATGCTGGGGTTAAAATTATGTATACGTGTAGAACAGTCCTAATTTAAATATGAAATTTGTTTGTTAATAATAAAGGAGATTGTCCATAATCTTCTCAATTCACACACACACACACACACACACACACACACACACACACACACACATATTTGTGTGTAGTTACAGTGATAGTTATATTACTCATCTCGTCAGTTGTTATGATTTCTTTATCCTAACATCTATTGATAACTACTGAGTGGTTTTGGTTGTACACAATACAAAAAATACAAAACATAAACAAAACCTAGGCTCAAATTAGCAGCTACATACATATTTTTGGCCAAGCTGTTTAAAGTCCTGATTTTAATTACCCTTGATTAAAGGGTGGGTTTCAGAATCCCCCCTGTGGCCTCCAAGGTCCTCTCTGATCTAGCTTCCTTGCCCTCAGTTTCTGTCAGAACTGGGCCATATGGTCACTTCTCTCTGCCTGGGGGCTGGGAGAGAATGCCAGAATGATAAGTTCATGCCAGTCTTGACTCATTGGTTACCTTGGAACATTGCCACAGGACAAAGCAAGGATATTTCAGCAAGAAAGGATGGTGAAACAGGAACTGAAAATATATGCCACAGCTTCTCCCTAGTCAAGATTCTGTCAAAATTGAGTGGTTGTCATTTGTGTTATTGTCATAATAGATTTTGTTGTTTTTAGGTTGTTGTTGATGTTTAATATATAGTCTCTCACTGTGCAGCTTTGACTGACCTGGATATCATGTAGACCAGGCTGGCTTGGAACTCATAGAGATCCACCTGCCTCTGCCTTCTGAGTACTGGGATTAAAGGTGTACACCACCATACCCTCTTGTAATATATACATTTTCATGTACATTTTAGCTTATTAAGAATTTGAGATGCCCCCCCACCATAAGGTGTGATAGAGAACCCTTATACTTAACTTTTTGCTGTGTCAGCATTGAAGACATAAGCAGAGAAGGGTTGCCTTGTGGGGAAATTATGTGAGGAAACTGAACAGTGGCCATTAAAAATGGAAACATTGTACAAAGTTTGAAAAAAAAAAAAAAACTACTGTCTTTTGCTTACAAGTATCAGTAAGAAATACATCAGGAATTTAAAATAAAAAATTCCAGTGCTTGGTTTCCATATGTATCGTTTCATATTGCAGTTGCCCTTTATCAGTTCGTGATCATACTGAATCCAGAAAGATAAAGGAAGCAGTGTCTGCTCTTTGTACTGACAAGGAGCAAGTCTGCTAAAATCAATCTCACTTTCTCGATCCCTATAGGGTGTGCTGCCTGAAGACTTGTACTTAATATTAAACATGGCAGAGGATGGGAAAGACAAGACTGGGGCTGGAGAAACAGCTCAGCTGTTAAAGGCTAAGGCTCCCAGCTGGCACATAAGCATGAGGACCTGAGTGTGCATTTCTAGTACTCTCATGGGAAAACCCTGGTGCAGTGGCACTGGCCTGCATTCTGAAGGCTGGAGAGATGAAAAGATCAATCCCTAGGACCCATTGGTCTGCCACCCTGACTTATTGATGCGCTCTGGGTGCAATGAGAGACCCTGTCTCAAAATATAAGGTGGAAAGCAATAAAGGGAGGTTCCCAATGTCAAACTCTGGCCTTTGTGTCCAAGTGTCTATCACCTGCATACATATGTACACATACACAAACACGTGTATTCATCACACAGAAATGAAGACAAGATGAGTGTAGCAAAGGTTGAGCAAAGACTGTGCATTAAGACACGACACGCGGCCTCTCACCAGTGGATAAGATGCAAGCTTTACATTTGTAGGTACCAGTTCACCTTTTAAGAGTAAGCTTGTTTATTATTTGGCTCAGTGTGGACACTGAAACCAGAGCTAGTGAGGCAGACTACTCCACACAGCTAGCTAATGCTAGCTAATGGCAAGAGCAGGGCCAGGCCATGGCCCCACAGTACACCAGCATGGGCATAGATTTTTTTTTTATTTTACAATGAATCACAGAAACAGCCTACTAAAATGAGCCACCTCTCCCTCCCTAGAAAGGAACAAAGAGCCCTGGGGCAGGGGATGAAGCTTTCTGTTCTGGTTTGAGACCTAGTCAGGGAAGCTAGCCAGCTCATGAGGTTTGCCATAGGGCAAGGCACAAGGATAAGTTCCTGGAGGCTCCATGATGCTGACTGTGCTGACCTTAGGTTTGTGGCACAGGCTGATCCTTCAGTACGCTGTCAATGGTCCAAAGTGAAGGAAATAGAGGCAAGTGAAGGAAAAGGCAAGAAAGGCAATGCTCACCACTTCTGTATACATACAGAAACTCATTGAAATTTTTAATACTAGCTCAGAGGCTCTAGTCAGAGCAGCATGACCTACACAACATCAGGAACAGGGTGTTATGTTTGTGCCCATGAAAACAGATGCTAAAGAAGTTGGAAGTGAAGTATAGAATCATCTGTGGGCTTTTCTTGTAAAGCTCTCTGTCTCTCTGTCTCTCTCTCTCTGTCTCTCTCAAAGCTCTCAAAGCTCTGTGTGTGTGTATGTGTGTGTGTGTGTGTGTGTGTGTGTGTGTATGTATGTTTCTGTCACACCCACACATGCACATTTCTGAAAATTCACTGGTTCCTACCCTTTAGTATATCTGAGAATCATTTGGAAGGTTTGCTAAGAACATAGACTACCAGTCTCCACCTCAAACTTCTGACTCTGTAGATTGCAATAGTCTTAACAGTGACATTTCTAGCACACTTTTAGGTGATGGTGGCATCAATGACCCAGAGAGGGCCATTTCAGTTACTGTTGTAGTCAGCAGATAGCAGCTGCACACACAGAAGAGTTCCCACTGATAGAGCGTGGCCACTAAAAACCATCAATCATCTGTAGCTGCTGCTGGAGAAATAGCAGCAGGAAAGGGTTTGATTTTGTGTCCCTAGGGTTTGCTGGCCAGGAGCCTGCAGCAAACATTGCTTCCCCCCCCCCCCCCGGGGTCCAGATAATAGGAACAGGGAAAGCAGCAGCTGCCAGAGGCCAGCAGCTGTACCTCCAGAGAGGGTGGACTCCCTCAGAATTCTAGAGAACGAACCTCCAGAAAACGTGCCAGACTGAACTCTGTCATTTAGTGTATCATGGCAGTGCCTTCTCTGAGGTCTGGCCAGCCCTGATGCAGAGAAAGGAGGACAAAGGAGTTTCCTTGAGTGTCTTTTCAGCCCTATAAGATGGGCAGTTCCTCTTAACAGTTCAGTTCTTTGTGTTCCTTACTAGCCCCAACTTTCTGATGATTTTTTATTTGTAGAATAAATACCTACTTGTACTTATGAAGTTATGTGTGTATTCTATTGTTTTACATTGTACTTTCTTTAAACATGTCTATTTTAAGCATTTCAATCACTTATGTATTTTATATACTTTATATTTATATAAGCACAATTATTTTTAAAATAATTATTGATTTTATATAAGTAATATGCTCAATTCCTTATGTATTAGTTTCTAGTACTCATTATTATGTGGCCTTCCATTATCATGTGTGCCAGATGGACTCAGACTAACACAACTATTGGGCATGTTCAACTAATTATAAAAGAGGAATTTGGATAACTATTCATCTTCATTTCCTGTATTTTTTTAATTTTCCATTTCTTATTTCTGAGATATTATGCATACACCATTTGTCCATAAGGAAAAATGTGTTTGACAGTCAGAAGTGCTCCAGACAGAGCCTAGATGTAGTTCAGTGACAGAGAATTTGCCTGGTTTACATCCCCAACCCTATCGATCAATAAGCCAGTCAATTAATGTGCCACTAACTGCAGCTCTGTGGTGTTTGCATTCCCATAACTTTTTCACATAAGATATCTGGTGGGTTTTCTTTCTAATTCTTGGATGCTCTCCATTTGACAGTACAGTCCTTGGGGAAATAAGAGATGCTGGGTTTTTTGAGTCTATATTTCAGGTTACTTTTAAAACATGGTTTGCCTTAACCTACCATGCATTAGTTTGAAGATTATATGGATTTAACACGTTAAAGTGACCATGAAGAAATGATCTGTAAAATAATTCCCAATAGTAATATTGTTATGATGTTATTTAACAATTCAAAGTCTGTTGAAGGTTTTGTTTATCACACAAGCATACGGACACCTACCTAGAACCTGAAATTTTAATTTAAAAAAAAATTTAATTAAAAAAAAATCTTTCCTGAGCAGTTAACCTATCCACACACAGTGTCAAATGCTTGTAAGAAAATATGCTGCCTGATATAATGGCACACAGGTCAGGGTGGGGTCAGGGGGGTCAGGAGATCAAGGCCAGTCTCAGTTTGAGGTCAGCCTGGGATCGAAGTCTCAAAAACAAAAACTCAACAAAAAAAAAAAAAAAAAAAAAAAAAAGCAAACAAAATTCCATTTTGGCTGTTGGCAGTGCCTGTAATCCCAGCATTTAGAAGGCTGATGCAGAATTGCCAGTTTTGGGCAAGCCTGAACTAAATAAGTGATACCTTCCCTACCTCAAAAACGCCAAAAAAAAAAAAAAAAAAAAAAAAAAA